CTGCAAATTTTGATCATTGATGAAATCTCCATGGTAGATCATAAACTGTTGTTTTACATCCATGGAAGATTGAGGCAGATCAAACAAAGTGGCGACTTTTCCCCTTTTGGGAATGTGAGTGTTGTGGCTGTAGGAGACTTTTACCAGTTGCCGCCTGTTAAAGGGAAACCCCTGTATGTTGAAGATGGAGGTGTCAACTTGTGGTCTAGTCTTTTTAGAGTGGCAGAGTTGAAAACCATAGTCAGGCAGAAAGAAGGTGTGCTTGCAGAGTTGCTTAATAGGGTTAGAACACGATCTAAAGGGACAGCCATATTAGATAGTGATGTTGAAATATTGCGACGTTGTGAAACTGGTGAAGTCAGCTCAGCTTTACATATATTTCCAACAAATAGACAAGTAAATGAGCATAATGTGGCGCAGTTGTTAGAGAGTTGTCCTGAGTGTGTAGAAATTGACGCACAAGATTTTGTGAATAGCAAGAGAACGAGGAAGCTGGAGTTGATGGTCGGGCATCACAGCAAAGCTCCTCACACGTGTTTGGAGGAAACTGTACTCCTGGGTAAAGGAGCCAGGGTTATGTTAATAAAGAATATTGATGTTATGGATGGTCTTGTGAATGGGGTGTGCGGTACTGTAACGTACATCGTGACCTCAGACAAAGGAAAGTTTCCTCCGAAAGTGTACGTCAAGTTTGACGATGACTGCATTGGTGCACAAAGGAGGAAACAAACTCCAGCTGTGTCAGTGGAGTTAACTGGTTCAACAGCTATTGAACCAGAGGAAGAAAGGGCTACCAGTAAAGGTGGAATGCGCCGGCAATTTCCATTGAAACTTGCCTGGGCTTGTACAGTGCACAAAGTGCAAGGCATCACTGTTGATAGGGCTGTAGTTAGTTTGAAAAAAGTGTTTTCTGCAGGACAGGCATATGTGGCCTTAAGCTGTGTTAGAAGTCTGTCAGGTTTGGTCATTCAGGATTTTGAGCAGAAAACTATATACTGTAGGGATGATGTGAAGATGCCATTGACAGTATGCCACCATTTTTGAATGACACCAGAAAATTCAGTAAACAGGGTTTTACGGTGTTTTTGATGAATGTGCAAAATCTATCTGCGCATGCAGCAGATTTGGCATTGTGCACACAGCATTTACAGCTTAACTGTATTGCTGTAACGGACACATGGCTGCCTTCTGAGTCTTCATTTGATGCAGTAAACATCGATGGTTACAGTTTCCATAACAGTCTTCGATGTTTAGCATACACTAGCAACAGCCCAGCACTCATGGCATTGCAGAGCCAACAACATGGTGGAGTTGGTATGTATAGTGTAGAAAGTGAAGCATATGACATCATACAAGTGCCACATCCAAATTTGGAATGCATGGTCGGTAAGTATGTCATGTATAACATACTGGTAGCGGTCATTTACCGACCACCGTCCTATCCCATGTCCTTGTTTAAGGAGCATCTTGGCAAGTTACTCGATTGGTTAGATCCACTAAGTAACACAATTGTCATCATGGGAGATTTCAATGATGACATTTTGAAGTCATCAACAATGTGTTCATTTGTGACAGATAAAGGGTATGTGCAAGTTGTGATGCAGCCCACAACAGAGAGTGGCACACTAATTGACCACGTGTATGTGAAAACATCACAGTATGAAGTGGAGTCAATTGTGTGGCCAACATATTTTAGTGACCACGAGGATATTGTTTGTGTTTTTAAATGAAAAGGCAAACTGGCATTTGACCTTTTCATTTTTGTAGTGTGTAGAGCAGTGTACAAAGTCAATTTGCAGAGGACATTAAACACTTTGTCGTGTTTAGGTATGGTGTGACAGGTTACAATGTAGTAATATATATGGAAAAGATTTGTTTAGTGATTGTTGACTTTGTGGTGTTGTAGTGTTCAGATGTCCAGCCAAGTTGGCTTTTAAAGAGGTGAGCAAGATTTTGTTGTAGTTTAGCATTGTGTATTGTAGGAATCATTGTAAAAGGGTTTGTTGTAGAGGTATTTGTAGTTGAATAGCTGTATCATGTTCTGTTTCTGCCTTTGTTAAGCGCTATGAGATGACTTGTTGTTGTAAATATGCGCTATACAAATAAAATTGAATTGAATTGAATTAAGTTAATAGGGAATGGGTTTCATTTCCTGTATTACAACAGCATTTACAAATATTAAAGTAAAGAGATCATTAGCAATAATTGACCACAGGTGTCATCTGTAATGTCCCTACATTTTTTGGCAAAATCCTTTATAACCTATGTCCTTAGACACATGTAGTATGTAAAGTAAACTTTATGTCACACGGGATTACCCGGTGTAAAATGTAACCGCAATGTAAAAAGCAGTCACCCATATGCTGTTGTGATGCAGGTTTTGCTTTGCCTTCCATGTAGTGTCAAAAAGCAAAAGGCACTGGTAATGGTACTCCTGGTTTACCAGGACGGGGTTCGATTCCCTGTGGTGTCCTGCTTGTTTTGCGTAAACATGAAAGTTGCTGTAATTTGGTGTGAACTACTTTGCATAAGTAACGGTGAATAGCTTCATAACAGTAGCTCAACATCCAAGTGAAAAGCATGTGAGTATTATTTGCAAATGTTGTATTGTTTTTCAGTGATGTAATGTTTTTAAATGCTAACTTGTTTTAAATGCTGTAAAGCACTTTTTGTTGCTGTAGTACATGAAAAGTGCTATATCAGTAAGATTTGATTTAACTTGATTTGAGTATGTGACTGTATATAACATAATATGTCCTCTTTCCAGTTTGTGGTAATATGAGTGACTGACAGAGATGGCAAAAGTACTCACATTCTTTACTTAAGTAGAGATACTTGTGTAAAAATAGAGTCAGGTAAAAGTGAAAGTACTGACTCAACTCCTTTACTTAAGTACAGGTTCAGAAATGTACTGCAGTACAAAAGTAAAGATTAGCAATTACGTTTTAGCTTCAATGATATGCAATGCCTCTTTTGATAAATAAATGCGGGTTGGCTGAGGCTCAGAGCACGGCTGTAAAATTTCAGGCCAATCAAAGCACACACAGGCCAGCTACACAGCATGTCTCATATTCTGGTGTTTTATGGCGTTGTGGCCAAATTCAGGGGGGCGCCATTTCCA